CAAATCGCTGCGCCTGCCACGAAGTCTGCACTTCGAGGTTCGCACAATGCTGCGCCTGCCAGGAAATCTGTACTTTGAGGTTCACAGCGCTCTGTGCCAGCCACGAAATCTGCACTTCAAGGTCCACAAAGTACTATGCCTGCCCGTACGAATCGTGAACCTGCATGACGCGAGTAATTATACAGCAACACAGTGGGAAGAAGAGGGGAACAGCAATAAGAGGACATCGCAGATGTCAGCAGAAACAATTTCAAGACACCAACCTACAAGGGCAACTTTGCAACTTCTTAAGAGCGGAAGTGCAAGTTTACTGACTACATCGGCATCGGCTTCATCGACAAAAGCAACATCGAAATGCTGAGAGTTTCGGAAGAAACGCAAGCACAGCTAGAGCAGCAGTTATGGCACAACACTGCAACAAACGCGCGACGAACAAAAAAACCGCGGTTCGGCTTAGCAGCAGCGGTTCGCAGACAATCCTAACACGCCTCAAAATTGAAATCTACAGACAACCCTGCCGTAGATTGTCACTGTTGGGCAGCAGGTCAAGGTTGCCGAGGCCCAAGTTCGGCGCAAGCAACTTTGAGGAATCGTAAAAATTGGGAGTTCGATCTCGCGAGGTTCAAACGAGAAATTAAACAAACACTTCCTCTGACGCTGTCAAGGTGGCAGTCCTTCTTAACAGCACCCAGTACGGGAACCCACGGTGTTCATCAAGACACAGGCAGGCACATACGCACAATCGTCAACAGTCTCCGCTCACTACGGTGGAGGACAAACACCAATGGATGTCGATGATGTCGATGTAGACCACAAAACAAAACCAAAGTACAAAGGCAGAGGACAGAGTAAAGGAAACATACTGGAAGAGGTTATCGCCCGCATAGTTCCGCGTACAGCAGCTAAACGAAAAGGAAAACAAAGAGGAATGCACAACGCACAACCAAGTGGACAAGGAAAAAGGTATCTACAACAAAGGAAAGGACAGGACAGGACAAAGGAAAAGTTTGAAAAATAAATGAAAGTGAAAGGAGAACAACTATGCTAGGAGTTGCCGAATGTCAAGTTCGACACAACAGAGATCTCTTTGAAGCGCTCCAAGGATCGGCCAGAAAGTCATGAAGCCAGGACCGCTACGATCGGGGCTCCTGGCATCGCTACGATCGGAGCAAGAGGCTGCTAGTAACAAGAACGCTACTAGGGGAGGTCGCCACTGCAGGAGTTCATCACTGCGATGTGTTTGTTGTCAACCCGCGGTGGCAGGACCTAACGGCGGAATGCCCACGGAGGAACTGCCGGACCACGGCTTCTCCGGAGCACCTTGGTGAGCATGTACTTCATCGTTGAGCGTTTGTTTTGCCAATGATTTTTTTGGCAGGTGGATTCCAATGATCACATGATGTTCATGACATCCGCTTTTTCTTACTCATCCAGCTTGGAGGCCCGGATCTTTTGTGCGCACGATGGGGAAGGAAAATCGGTGAGCCGCGCTGCAAGGTTCATGAAGACCACTTGAGAGCTGATGGATCAGCAAATTCTTTGACATCATCTAGTCTAGCAGATCGATGGTGTTGATTACATCAAGGACAAAACGCGTGAGGACTTGCGGTTGCCACAAGCTTTCAAACCGAACAAGGAAAGGCAGCTTTGATCTCATGCCAGGTCGACCACCATGACAGATCTGAGTAAAACTGCAGATGCCGACACTTTTGAATCGCAGAGTTGCAACAAGGCTAACTGTTTAATTGTAGTTCAAACCATGGAAGTTCCCTGTGCGCTCAATGGACACCCTGCTGCGGCACGTGCCTTACGGACTGTTGCTGAGACTGCATGTTTACATGTGTTTACGAACAGTTGCCAAAATCTTGAGAGTCGCGATGGTAAATGTCCAAGTTGCCAATGATTTTTTCTAGTTCGTAGGACATTAAAGTAAACATGTCTAGAGTCTTTTATAGCTTGATACTGTTCTATTTGTGTTCTTTGTCTGGGACCTTATTTCGCCCTTTTGGAGCTGAAGCCGAGGTGCCGAGGGAGCATGCCGTTGCAAGCGTGTGGACACCAGTTCCAAGTGGCAGCGCCTGACTGAGTACGTGGGTAGGCACTTCCTTTGGCTGTAGGGCACGTGATTGCTGAGGAGAAAAGACCAGGCACGCGGCCTAGATCGAATCGGGTCACATCGTCTATCAAGGACTGGAAAGCATTACAGCATTGAGTTCCAAGCCTGGAAGTGGTCATGGCATGTCATGGCCACAAAACCTTGTAGGTTGGAGGCCATCGCTAGTAGGTTGGAGGCCATTGTAATCAAGGGGGAGGCCATCGCTATTAGGATGGAGGAGTGATACTGGCTGAAGCTGAGGCTGGTGGCCTTTTTGGGTCTGATCCCGGCACTTCATCTTGGACGCCGGAGATGTAGGCGGTGTGATCGGTGCAGGAGTTGTTGGGATTCTGTAGCTTGAGCAGGGCAATGGAGGTATTGGGCTTATACAATCCAAACAAGAATCCTGATGCTCTTTACTTTTGCAACAACTCGCGCAGCCACATCAAAGCTTCATGCGTCCGCAACTTGGCATGATTCATAGCGTCATAGGGGCATGTATGAAAGGGCGGTCTGGAAGTGCTCGCAGCCCACGTATGAGCTTTAAGAGCTCCTCAGCCCATGCTACGCCTGAAGCACCTGCACTTGGTGCTACCACTGGACGGATGCGTCTTGCTCTACCAGCCGATGAGGGTCTCGTGGATTGCACTTCCACCTTCAAGGTACTCGCCCTCCACCTTTCAACCGAAGCCGTCCGTAAACAGAGAGCAAGAAGACAGCGCCCAGGATGGAGACAACGGTGAACAAGCACAGCAAACCTTGGATCAAGAAGGGGTCCTTCCCGTAGAGCTGAGAGAAACATATTTGGTGTGCATACATGTCATGTCAGAGAAAAGACATGGACAAACAGGATGGCTGGAAATCGCACAGTCTCTGGACTTCTTCTGTGCTAGGCCTGGAGCACGTTGTGCTGCAAAGCAGGCCTGTTTTGCCCGTGCGCCTGAATCACTTGACACGTCTCATAACATGGCAACAAATGGCGTTGTGGTTGGTGAGGCTGTGGAAGTCGCGGAAGAGGCAGGTTTCAGTAACCTTGTTCACTTGAAGCACAGGGTTCCAACTGAAGGCTGATAAAAGACACGCTATTAAAACATTGAAACACTTTCTGTTTATTACGAACGCCAGTGTTAAGCTGGAGGTCTTACTGTGAACGAAGTGAGTAACCAACACCAAAATGCTTTTCTGGGGGGGATGCAGTGTTGGTGATAGTGATGCTTAAATAAAGGCTTGGGATGCTGAAGACATCGGGTGGCATCGTGAGCATCCTAAAGGTGGATGGTAACATGTTGTTACTAGGAGCAAGGACGCTACTAGGGGCTCCTGGCCTTACTACTAGGAGCAAGGACGCTGGGGACAGCGGGGAGGTAGGTTGGAGGCGCTCTTAGGGTGTGCGGATGGTGGAAGTGGGGAGGGTCGTTTGGATAACCCGGCTGAATGGAGGTGAAAGGGTGGAAAGTGTTGTGGATGGTCTGCGCTTGGCAGAAGTGCGTTGCTGTGAAGTGGGATGGTGTTGCTCCTGAGTGACAGGAGCGTGTGCCACTCCTCCCAAAGATGGAGAGAGGACCTCCAATAACAACCTACCACCATCCGCCGGCTTTCGTTCCTTCCTTCTCAGGTTTTCACATTTTGGTATTTCCGCAAAACAACTGGAATAACTGGAAGACGTCTGTCCAGGTTTGCGGATTCAGTTTTTTAGGGGATCTTGAGTTTGCCGCTTGCCGGCATGGTGTTTGAGAGAGCCCTTCTGACTTCTGGCCCCATGTAGGTGCTAGGCTAACCAAGGCCACCAGGGTGAAACATCTTTGGGTTTCGGTTTGGGCCGTTTGATTTCGCTTCAGGCACAACTTGCTGGCCTCACTGCACGTTTTTGTGCAGGGCGCCGTGTGCGTGCACGACGAGCTCGTGCGCAGCCTTGGAATTGAATGACCGAATGCAGCGGACCCAAAACCAACAAGAAACACAGTGTAAACATCGAAAGAAAGCAGTAACAAGTGCCACGCTAGTAGTAACAGGTGCCTTACTAGTAGTAACAAGAAGCCAGAAGCTAGAACAAAGGAAACACAAGAGTTCTTGTTCGTAGTAACAAGGCATAGCTGGGGCGACAATAAGTCAGAGAGTGAGATGAGTCAGATGGTTTTTGAGAAATGCAAGAGAGACTTTGCCACCCTAGTAGCTTCTTGCTCCTAGTAGCGATGCCCTTTGCTCCTAGTAGCGTCCTTGCTCCTACCCCGCCCCCGCGCGCTTGAAAAGGTCCTAGTAGCTTCTTGTTCCAATTCTAATTAAATTCAATTTTGGTTTAAACTATATATATTTAAGTCTATTTATTGATTTTTTCTAATAGCAAACATTGTTCCTAGTAGTAAAGCCAGGAGCCCCTAGTAGCGTTCTTGTTCCTAGGGAGACTTTGCCGCCAGGCTTTCAATCTTGCGTGCAGAGATGTGATGGCGCTGCAAAGGTGCGACGACGCTTCAGTCCTTTGCGCTATGACGCCTCCCTCAAAAGAATTAAAAAACACTCTAGAAAGTATTGTTTGCATTCCGATTCCTTTGGATACCGCCACACAGCACTGGTTGCATTTTTCCTGACATGTGCCAAACAGCTGTACGCTATGTTTGCCCCACCTCAAGCCCTTTGAATTAAGGGGCCCAGGCGAACTGTGCCAACGAAATGACCAACACAGACACGTAGAACATCCAAGCTTCAGCTGTGACTGTGAGGGCCAATACAAAGAAGCTCCGGATGTGAATCCTGGACAAACATGATTTGGATTTTGACGTGAAGTCACTGCACATTCAAGAGGCAGTTCTTCCAACACGTCTAGCCCTTGTTGGAGCCTTGAGTGTACACTTTTGCAAGACAACCTTTCTTGACCTTAGTGACCTTAGTGGGCCCCGCTCTCGATTTGATGGCAAAGCGTCAGACCATAATTCAGGAGAATGGCTCCAAGAGAAGGCGAGAGGAGGGGAAGGATGATCCGATGAGAGGACTTGACGTCGCAGAAGACTTGACAACAGAGACAGTCTTGGAGACCTACGACGTGAAGACTTCGGGTGGCAATTGTGTTCATGAGTGCGTGCGACCGGCAGAAGCAGCTGGCCAGCCAACGGCAGCATTGCCAAGTACTCCGGCAAAAACTTACAGTTTTCAGTTAGATGCCTTTCAGCAAGAAGCCGTGAATTGCTTGGAGAGAAGAGAATCTGTCATGGTGGCAGCGCACACATCTGCTGGCAAAACAGTCGTCGCGGAGTATGCAATCGCCATGGCACTGCGAGACAAGCAACGCATTATCTACACTTCTCCCATCAAGGCCTTGAGCAACCAGAAATATAGGGATCTGCAGGATGAATTCAACGACGTGGGTTTGATGACGGGTGATGTAACCATCAACCCTCATGCTTCCTGCATGATTATGACGACTGAGATTTTGCGGTCTATGCTGTATCGAGGTTCCGATGTTTCACGAGAGATGGCTTGGGTTGTTTTTGACGAAGTGCATTACATGCGAGATCGAGATCGTGGTGTGGTTTGGGAGGAAGTGATGATCTTGCTTCCAGATTCAGTCCGACTTGTTTTCTTGTCTGCAACAATCCCAAATGCCAGGGAGTTTGCAGAATGGATCTGCCGAATAAAGCACCAGCCATGCCATGTGATCTACACTGACAAGCGCCCAGTTCCACTGCAACATTATTTGTTTCCTGCAGGTGGCGATGGAGTGTACATGGTTGTCGATGAGAAGGGTCACTTTCGTGAAGACAACTTCCACAAAGCCTTAACAGCCTTGCAGAGTGCTGCTGACTCAACAAATGTGGACACAAAGAAGATTCAGAAAAAGAAAAGCAAAAGCAACTTGGGTGACTTGGAAAAGATTGTGAGGATGTGTGGTGACAGAGGCTATTTGCCAGTCATTGTTTTCTCATTCAGCAGGAAGGAGTGTGAGGCCAATGCAGTGGCTTTGAAAAAGATGGACGTCACAGATGACGATGAGAAGAGATTGATTGATGAAGTCTTCAACAATGCGATCATGACACTGGGTGATGAGGATCGGGAACTACCTCAGGTGCAAAGTATGCTTCCGCTTCTGCGACGTGGCTTAGGCATCCACCATGGAGGTTTACTTCCGATGTTGAAAGAAGTTGTAGAGATTCTCTTTCAAGAGTCTTTGATCAAAGTCTTGTTCTCTACCGAGACCTTTGCTATGGGTATCAACATGCCCGCAAAGACTGTGGTCTTCACCAATACTCGGAAGTGGGATGGCGTTGAATACCGAATCCTCAATGCCGGTGAATACATCCAGATGAGCGGCCGTGCTGGCCGGCGAGGCAAGGATGATCGTGGACTTACCATCATCATGTTTGATGAGAAAGTGGAACCAGAGGTTGCAAAGGAGATGTTCCTGGGTCAATCCTCCAAGATCTTCAGTGCATTTCACTTGGGATACAACATGCTCATAAACCTCCTCCGTTTGGAAGGTGCAGATCCAGACTACATGATCCAAAGGAGCTTCCATCAATTTCAGAAGGACAAGTCCGCCTTGGAGATTCAAGCTCGGAAGCAAGACCTTGAAACAGAGGTGGCGAACCTGGAGGATCTTCGTGTAGCAGTGAATGATAATAATAGCAGCTATGCATTCAATGTAGATGAAGCGATTGCAGATTACTACTACATCGACAAGCAGTTGAAGAAAAAGATGGATGAAAAGCGTGAGATTATTGTCCGACCAGAGCATATTGCTCCCTTTCTCAATCCAGGACGGCTTGTGTCCCTTGCCGGTGAAACTTTGATCACTTTTTGAACTTGTAGAGACGGTTTAGAAAAGGTCCAAGGAAGGTCGAAGGTTAAAAGCCTAGTGAACACCCTTGAAAGAAACATTGCAATGAAAGAGCAGAGCAGGCGTTCAGACACATAGACGACAAAAACACGCCAACGTCACTACAAGACTGCTGAAGCATGCTGAAGCTGTCAAGGTGCCTGAAGGATGGCGAGACAGATTGGGGCTGGGGAATTCTAATCTCTGCCGCACGGAAGAAGCTCACTGAACAGCACGTTGTATTGGAAGATTCTGAGCCTCAGTGGGTTTTGGACATTTTCCTGCCTTGCGATGCGGAGCTGAAAGATCGACCCCCACGGCCCGACGGCAAAGCAGAGGGCAGGATCCTATCTATGGCACTACCGCTGGTACAAAAGATCAGCAAGATTCGATCGAACATGCCTTCCGGTGTTGCTCAGCTGTGAGGCTGTAGTGATCCCCCTTTTTTGTCTCTTTTCTGCTGGAGGTCCTTTTTTGTTACACGGGATTATTTCATGTGCTGTTGCCTTTAGCAGAAATTGCCGCCTAGCTGCCTTAGGACCCGGATAGTGAAGATTCTCGCCGGGCATTGCTCAAGACTTTGCATCAGATCAAGAATCACAAGAGCTTTAAACAAGGCATCCCTGAGCTTGACCCAGTGGCAGAGATGAACATCAAGACGGAGGACAGATGCATGAACTTGCCAGAATACTGTTGAAACATGTTGAAACGCTGATATTTTGATGAGTAGTAACAAGTGCCACGCTAGTAGAAACAAATGCATCGCTTCTAGTAACAAGTGCCTTACTAGTAGTAACAAGAAGCTACTAGAAACAAGTGCCACGCTAGTAGTAACAGGTGCCTTACTAGTAGTAACAAGATACCCTCGGAAATCGGAAGAAAGACACGAAAGCGGTTTATTAGGAGATGAGCAATGTGATGTCCAGCATTGCCGACCTAGAGAAGAAGTTGGCCACGAACAGCTTTCACGGCCACGAAAAGATGCAGCTGTACTATGATTGCTTTGCCAAAAAGGCAGGTAGTGTCATCGCTACTAGTAACAAGGGCATTGCTACTAGTAGCCAGAAGCTACTAGTAAGCATGCAATGTAGGTTTCCATGAGCTTGTGAATGGCTTCGGCAAAGGAGCACTCAACAACACAGTGTGACTTTGTGTAGGTGAAGATGCATGGAGAGGTGCAGGACTTGGAGAAGCAGATCAACCAAAGTCGCTTTATGGTATCTTGGTGATGGAAGCGAAGAACACGAAAGACGCAACACGACACGAAGAAGAAGAAGAAGAAGAAGAAGAAGAAGAAAAAGAAGAAGAAGAAGAACGACGGCCTCCAACCTAATAGCAATGGCCTCCCACCTAATAATGATTTATATATTGTAAAATATAGATTATAGCTTGGTATAGAATCTAAACTGGATAATGGAGGTGTCTCGGTCTGCGTTTTGTTTCGCGTTCTACTCCAGGTCATGAGTGATGACTTGCGAGCCATGAGACGAGTGTTGAGAAGGCTGGGCTTGGAGATGGCCAAACTGCATGAGGGAAAGAAGAGTCTTCGTTTCATTTTGTTTCGTTTTCAAGTGCATCGCTGCTAGGAACAAGTGCATCGCTACTAGTAACAAGTCACTAGTAGTAACAAGAAGCTGTTAGAAACAATAAGCTAGACTTAAAGAAAGACCTTACAGGCCGGGTAGCATGGACGCAGCAAACTGCTCTTTTGCGATGCTCTCCAGGTTGGAATTTATCGACAAGGACGGAGTCGTACAGCTGAAAGGGCGAATGGCTTGTGAGATTACCTCTTGCGACGAAATCTTGATGACAGAGACTCTTGGCATACACAAAGCCTGTGCCGATTTTGTACGTAACTTTTGCTTCTTCGAATCATCAAGTTGCTCCTTTTTTTTTTCAATGATACATTAATTAGTCGTCATGTTTGCCGCCATAAAGGCGGTTCCCTTCCGGACAAACCAACCGGACTCTGGACGTCAGGATCGTGTTTCAGAACGTGTTTGCTGATATTGATGCTAACAACATCATTGCTCTATGCTCTTGCTTGGTCTTCGATGAGAAGTCAGAGGATCCGATCACCAATAATCTGGATCTCATGAAAGCTTTTGAAACCTGCAAGGGCATTGCCCGAAATGTGGCTGAAGTAATGGTCCGGACCCGAGAAAAGACTTGACATGGGGGAGGGAGCTGACTGAATAATATTGAAGAGACAATCTTTGCATAGTGCTTAAATGTGCTCCATTGGCAGTGTACATAAGGTGGAAAACAAGATCCCTATTGATGTGGAGGAGTACGTCCAAAAGCTAAAGCCTCAGTTGATGGAGGTGGTCCTGCATTGGTTGGAGGGGAAGCGCTTCCACGAGATCATGATACTTGGCGAGATGGGAACACCATCGGCAATAACTGGCAATAACCACCAATTGCCCCCTAGACCACTAAGCGGTGGTCAACATGGGGGGCATGGACAACTTATACACTGTACCCAACTTAGAGAATTCCTCACCAAAATTCCATGCAGTTCTAACTGATATCGTGGTGTGACAGAATGAAGCAATACAATTTAATGTGTTTGATTATATACTGTAGTCATTAGTACTTGATGCAGCAATGCAATATGCTTTTGCTAGTGCTTTTGCTTACTTTGCTTTGCATTTCGCCTAAGGAATCAGTGCAACTTGTACGAAGGCAGCGTGGTGCGGGTGATTCGTCGCCTTGAAGAGCTCATCCGAGAGCTGGCGACGGCGGCCAAGACCATTGGCAACGAGGAGCTGGCCTCGAAACTTGTTCGAAGAACGCATAGCTTTCGAAGAGCCTTTGGATTCACATCCTGAGTTGACCAACCAATGGTTGTTGTTTTTGCTCACGCCCCCCCTAACGGCCCCGGAGAATTTCCACGTTTTCACCATTAACCAAGTTGATACTACGCTGAGGATGGGGTGGGGTGGGGATGGGGTGGGGTCTGTTAACGTTCGCTTGCACTTGCAAACCAAGTTGATGCTAC